GCTCCACCAAGCGCTACCCACTGTCTGTATTCTGGTTCTGCGCCCAAGATCAATACTCAATTTTATCCCACGCTAGACAGCGTCACAGCGAGCGTGGGATGCGCAACCTTGGCAGGTTCGAGTTCGACCGTAAATCCAACCTGAGGCTTTGCACAGATTGGACTAGGGGTGCAAGCTGGGAGTCAAAGTCCAGGCCAGCAAAAGAGAAGGACTCAGCCACGGGTAGTCCTCCATAGATAGAAGTGTACAAAGTCAAGTAAGGTAGCATTTGATAAGAGTTCTGAAGTCTAAAAACATTACTTTTTAGAAAGTTGATCTGAATTTGTATTTCAGAATTGAAATGTTTAGACCGCATGCTATCACTAAATGCGCTCAGACGCGTTTCATATGTGTTCAAAAGTCTAAAATGCCCCTGATAATATTCGAATAGACACCCCTTTTTAAACCCAAATTTCTTCTCACTCGAGCTCCAAATCGAAGCAATGGACAAATCTCTTCATGATCTAGGTTTCCATTCTTCTGGTGATCTATATTCCAACGATCAACGGTCGTCAGGCGATCTATATTCGGTTTTTCTGATGACGATTGGTGACTCATTTCCTATCACATTTTTGCTGCACCAACAACTGTGACAATAGAGGGAGAGAAACAGAGAACTCGAAGGGAGATGGCGATGGAGAACTTGAAGAAACCTATAGTTGTCGGCGATGGAAAACTCATTTCTGTTCTTAGATGCTTGATTTCTCTCTCTCTCTTCCTACCACCACCGTTGCAAGTCTCAACAACGACGTTCGATTTCCTTCTCCCTCTCCCTTTCCCTCCCTCTCTCTCCCCTGTCTTCCCGCCATTGTTGAACCTAAGGGTTTTTTTTTTCTGTTTTGAACCTACTCCAACTCTCCAAGAGCTTTTTCCCCTTCAGAGCGAGCAGCAAAATGATAGCCCTATATAGCAGGCCTCATTTGCAGTCGTCGGGTGGAAAGCCCCTTGAGGTGTTGTAACAGCTTTCGATCCTCAGTCACTTGCAGCTTCCTTGAGCTGCGTGGTGAGAAACCAACCAGGGGTTTTAAGGCTGCATTTGGCATTCCTTCTTTAAGGATTTATCTATTTTTTTTTCGGTTAAAACTCAATATTCATAGGTGCATTTTATGATTTTAACCGGTTTACATCAGGGTAAGTACAACTTTGTAAGCACGTTTAATTAGTACTTGAAAACTTTTTTGACACATGTTTCTTAAAATACCCTCAGCCCACCCTTGAAAAAGATTAAAACCCACTTTTGACAATTGTCAAAATATTTATCAAGTGCTCATTTAATGTGCTTACTTATGTTGTGCCTACTAGAACCCGTCCCCATTTTCATTACAAAAAGGATATAAGCCCTTAAAATAAGGAATTCCAAGTGCATCTTAAGACACAATGCAAATCTACTTCGACTGCTGACTTGCTAAGGCCAGCTGAAAAAAATTCGGAAGCCAAAGGTGTCCTTTCCCATTGATACCTTATGATATTTATATACAAACGATGGAGTTCCTTTCTCTCCAAAACTTTCTAAAAACAAATTCCTAATCCAAAAGAAAAACAAATGACAAAACAAAAAGACTTCCTAGGTAACATACAGATCCGGGACTCTTGCGAATCTTATCTCCGTTCAATACTCCCCCTCAAGGTGGTGCATGAGGATTGCGAATGCCCAACTTGGGAAGGAAAGAGTCAAACTGTCTTTGTCTGAGAGCCTTGGTGAAAATGTCGGCAAGTTGTTCACCGGTTCGTACATAAGTAGGTGCAATAGTGCCGGCTAGGAGCTCATTGCGAATGAAATGACAATCAACTTCAATATGTTTGGTTCGCTCATGGAAAACAGGGTTCGTAGCAATGTGTAGAGCAGCTTGATTATCACAAAGCAAGCGAATAGGCTGAGGATGAGATATACCCAAAGACGATAGCAAACCTTTTAGCCACTTCAACTCACAACTGATAGTGGCCATTGATCGGTATTCAGCCTCGGCAGAGGAATGGGAGACAGTATGTTGTTTCTTAGTCTTCCAGGAGATGGGGGAATGTCCTAACATGACAAAATACCCAGTAAGAGACCGACGAGTTAGAGGACAACTTGCCCAATCAGAATCACAATAAGCATACAATTGCAGATCACTATCAGAGCGCAAAAATATTCCTTGACCAGGACATCCTTTCAGATAACGAACCACACGTAATGCCGCATCCCAATGATCAACACGAGGACACTGCATAAATTGGGCTAGGACATGGATACAATAACTAAGCTCCGGTCATGTAATGGTTAAATAAATCAATCGGCCCACAAGACGTCGATGTCGTTCGGGGTCATCCAGGAGTGCTCCGTCAGCAAGGGCAAGTTTATGATTCTGAGTAATAGGAAAGGGAGCAAGTATGGACCCCAATAAGTCAGTTTCTGTAATAATATCAAGTGCATATTATCTTTGGCAAAGAAATATCCCCGATGATCTGCGAGTCACTTCGATGACCAAAAAATATTTAAGAACACCCAAGTCCTTCATGTGAAAACACCGGTTCATATACTGTTTAAATTTGTGTATGAACTCTGGGTTATTCCCACCAACGATTAAGTCATCAACATAAACCAGGACGTGCAAGACAAGCCCATTCTTGCGATATGTAAATAAGGAATAATCAGAATAGGACTATTCAAACCCAAAAGTTTTCAAGGCGGCACCTCACTTAGAAAACCAGTTCCGGGGGGCTTGCCGCAGACCATACAAAGATTTCCAGATTTTGCATACCTTTCCCGTCCCGGAGGCCGAAAAACCTGGAGGAGGTTTCATATAGACCTCCTCATGGAGGTCACCGTGTAGAAAAGCATTGTGGGCATCCATTTGATGCAGTTCCCAATGTTGGGCCGCAACAACTGCTAAGAAGGTTTGAACTGTGACCATTTTAGCCATAGGGGCAAATGTCTCGTTGTAATCAAGACTTTCAACTTGAGTGTTGCCCAGGACTACCAACCGTGCTTTAAATCTTTCAATGGATCCATCAGAGTTGTACTTGATTTTGTAGACCCATTTACACCCGATTGCCTTTTTTCCAGTTGGGAGGTCTTCCAAGGTCCATGTCCCATTGTCTTCCAAAGCCTATATCTCTTGGCACATAGCCTCATGCCATCGAGCATCAGTCATTGCCTCAGAGAAACGAGTAGGTTCTCGGCCTGCAGTAACAGTTGCCAAGAAATGTCTGTGTTTCACAGAAAAATTATCATACGTCACATAATGAGTTATGGGAAAGGAGTACCTGAGGATTGAGATGATGCGGGAGAAACAATGGAGGGGTCTAAACGACGAGCAGAGTGTGTGACAAAGTCTTGAAAATAGCTTGGGGGGGGCGTTTTTCTCGATGTCCGCGGCCTAATAACTCCATGGTGGGCTGAGAAGCAGCTAGAGTTTCATTATTTCTGCAACTTGTATGGCTCCTTGTCTCATCAAGAGGACCTGCCTCCTCATCATTACCCGTATTTTGATGTCCTTCATTGATCGTGTCGCTCCCCTTGACTTCTATATGATGTGACTCAGATACCATGTCTGGAGGAGTGGCCCAAGGCAACGGAACATTTTCTTTGGCTATGGGAGGACTGGTTACTGAGGGTTGATGTTCCGGACTGGTAAAGGGAAACTCGACCTCACTAAACACCACGTCTCACGAGACGAAGTAATCCCCAGACTCAAGATCGTATAATTTCCATTCCTTTTTCCCAAAAGGATACCTAACAAAGACACACTTCCTACTCCTAGCGGCAAATTTGTCATGGCCCCGAGTATGCGAAAAACACAAGCAACCAAAAACTCTGAGATGTGGTGTTTTACCACCAAGAAGGGTCGAAGGTGTCCGGTTAATCAAGTACCCTGCGGTCAAAACACACTCACCCCAGAAATTGATCGGAAGATGTGCTTGAAACCTGAGTGCTCTGGCCACATTCAAGATATGATGATGCTTTCTCTCCACATGACCATTTTGTTGTGGTGTTCCAACACAGGAAGTCTGGAATAAAATCCCTTACCCATCAAAATATGATTTCAAGGATTTAAACACTGTTCCATTATCACTTCTTACCACCTTAACCTTCTTACTGAATTGTTGTTCAATCATTGCACATAAATTTTTGAGTGTTTGACCAACTTTACTTTTTTCAGGTAGCAAATAAATCCAAACCGCTCAAGAATAATCATCAACAATTGTCAAAAAATATACAGCACCGCAAGATGCAGGTACTATAAGCACCCCATAAGTCATAATGAATCAAAGCAAAACAATCGGTCACTTTATTGCCGCTTTGAATAAAAACATCTCTAGTTTGCTTTGCCTTCAAACAAACATCACAGGTTTTGTTCTTACTATTATTGGTATTAAGAAGCAAACTAACCGTTTGATAAGAAGGGTGTCCCAATCTCCGATGCCACAAATCACATGATCCAATTCCATCTGTCTTGTAAGCACGAACCGACACCACACCCTTAAAGACATAGACCCTATCAAGCTGTTCACCCGCACCAATCAGAGTCCTCGAGATGCGGTCCTGTATCACACACAACTTATTTGTAAACGTCACAATACAATCTATGTCACGAAGTAACCGACCTATTGACAATAAATTACAATTGAGTTTTGGGACATATAATACGTGCAACAATTTAAAATTATTTCCAAGTTCAACAATGCCTTTTTTCACAGCCTCGGTGTGCGCACTGCACCGTTGGGTAAGCTAACTGGACAAGGTGCAACATCATAGGTGTCGACGAGCACATTTAAATTCCTTATCATGTGATGTGACGCCCCAGAGTCAACAATCCATTCAGTGAAGTAATTCTTACCAGAGAGCTTTTCATTAGTCCTAGTTTTGTAAGCATTAAGCATGCTTACAAGAGTCTGTCATTGCTCGTCATTAAGCCCGTTCAGTCCGGTCCTGTCTTCATCATCCACAACTGCATTAGCAGCCACCTCACGTCCTACTGATGACTGAGCAGTATGAGCCTTGGTCGTACCTCAGCCACATCCATCAGAGGGTCCAATAGACTTACTTGAGCTCTCACCGTTCTTGTCGTTGTTGGCAGGCATGGTGAAAAAAAGACGGTCGTCGCCGTTACCCACTACAAGCGCGGGAGGGGTCTGATCAAGATTAACGGTTGCCCGATCGAGTTGGTGGAGTCGGAGATCCTCTGTTATAAAGCTTTCGAGCCTATTCTTCTGCTCGGTAGGCACCGGTTCTCCGACGTCGATATGCGAATCCGAGTAAGAGGTGGTGGGCACACCTCGCAGATATATGCAATTCGACAGAGCATCGCCAAGGCATTGGTTGTGTACTACCAGAAGTACGTAGACAAACAGTCGAAGAAGGAGATCAAAGACATTTTGGTGAGGTACGATCGAACACTGCTTGTTGCGGATCCTCGGCGTTGCGAGCCCAAGAAGTTCGGTGGGCGGGGTGCTCGTGCGAGGTTCGAGAAATCATACCGTTGAGGAAGCTGAAGTAATGGATTATGTAGTTGAACAGATGGCCTCATATAAGAAGATACGCCGAGTTGCTTTCATCAATACCATTCCAAAATCTCCTGCTGGGAAGATCTTGAGAAGGCAGTTGATTGATCGTGCTCTCTCCTTTGCATCAGCTAAGTTATAATCTTATCTGACAGTCTGTGGTTCCTCTATGCCACAGCTACAGTGACGTCACCCGACGATTGACGCAATGGTGGAGCAGTGACACTTCCTTCTCCCTTTCGACCTTTGTAGTTCCGACAATTCCAACGGTTTCATCTTCCTGTTTCTTCCAATCTCCTTTCTCCGCTCTAGTGAGAGGAGATATGAGACTATTGTTTCAGCAGTTCCGATGATTCTGACTTTTTGTTCAAAATCAAGAAGTTCCTCTTCACTCTCATGCTAAAGGTCGCCGACGACAGGAATCAAAGACCCTCGCAGTAGCCAAAATCGCCGTAGGCAACGAAAAGCTTCTCTTCACTCTCGTTTCGTCGACGACAGAAAAAGGGAGACAGAGAGGAAGGAACTTAGCAAAGCTCCTTGGTTAGTTCCAGACTACCAGGATAGAGAAAGAGAGAGCCAGATTCGCGAGCGTCTTGGTTTTGATTGGCTCTGATACCATGAAAAAAATTCGAAAGCCAAAGGTGTCCTTTCCCATTGATACCTTATGATATTTATATACAAACGATGGAGTTCCTTGCTCCCCAAAACTTTCTAAAAACAAATTCCTAATCCAAAAGAAAAACAAATGACAAAACAAAAAGACTTCCTAGATAACATATAGATCCGAGACTCTTGCGAGTCTTATCTCCGTCAAATACCAGCATTGGTTCTCTATAGGAGTGTCAATGGACCAATTTTGGATTGGACCCCATCCAAACAAAAATCAATTTGGACGAATTGGAAGACCAACAAGACATATTGAGTTGGACCAGTCCAGACTTAATGGTCCAAAGTATTTATTGGATTAGATTGGATCTGGTCCATCCATAATGAATTTATATTGGATTGTATTGAATTGAGCCAATATCTAGTTCGTTTGATAGAAGATAAGAATATAGGTGTCAATGGACCAGTATTGGGTTAAAGCCAATCTAAATTAAAATAAATTTAAACAAATTCGACAATCTAGACATTGAATTGGACCAGTCCAAAATGGTCCAAAATATTCATTGGATTGGATTGGACTTGGCCCGTCTGTAATGCATTCACATTGGACTAGATCAGATTGGACCAAATCCAATCCAATTGACACCCCTAGCTCTATGGTTAGGGGCACTTGAAGCGAACCGGTTGAACTTGAACCTTTGGGCAAGGTTTTTAAAACCAGATCGAACAGGGAACCGTTCTAGGGACCGAATCTCGGGTGGAACGGTCCAACCATCTAATTTGAACGAACAACCCGTTCTAACTTAAAAAAAATAAATAAAACTAAAATAACAGCCAAAAACTGTTGTTCGAGCCAATAGTTCAATTGTTTGACGACCAGGTCAGTGGGTCGCTGACCAAATCAATGGTCTTTGGCCAAAAATGGTTTTCCAATTCCTGGTTTTCTGAACCAACTATCCACCAGTTTTCAAAACCATGCCTTTGAGCAATGGTTTTGAAATCTAATCTGACTCAAAAAAAAAGGAAAGAAAAGAGAATGTTGATCTACTTACCTCCCCACTTGATCGGGTAAAATGTCCCCTGCAATAGAAAGCAGTGTTTTCAGGACGGTCAGACTATTTGGCCCGAGAACTGTCTAGGTAACCGGTTCCATTTTACCCAAAATCTGGTCCCTAGCCAAAAATAGTTCCAATTCTGGGTCGGTTTTTAAAACATTGGTAGAAAGCATTATACAAACAACCTACCCAACCATGAGTTCCATTTCGTCCATCGCTCATTGAATCAAGTGGCTCACCACCTGCCTTCCACTCTAATGCGATCCAACTTGGTGGCGTTTGATAAATCTGAAATCTGAAAAGTTAAAAAGATATTAAAAGTATTTGAAATCTGAAAAGAGGCATAGCTACTTTTCTCTTTTTAGAGGCTCTGAATAGATAAGTTTGTTTGTGTTGGATCAACCCTTCAACATCTGAAATTCCCTAATTTTACTATTTCACCACTAAAACATACTATTTGGTAATTTTGAGTTCAATTTGCATTATTTCATAAAAAATAATTTATTAAATTGAAAATATGAGTAAATTATAAAAATAAAAAATAAGAATAAAATTGAAAAATACATATAAATTTATAAATTAAAAATAAATTGTTAAGAGCTAAAATAATAATGAAAATAGTAATAAAGTCCATGAAGCAATGAAAAAAGATTTAATAATTATCAAACTATTAAATTAAAATTATTAAAATATTTAATAATTAATAAAAATTAAAACAATTAACAATTGATATAAACAAAAGTATAAAAGTAAAAAATTATTAAAATTGGAAAATACATATAAATTTATAAATTAAAAATAAATTATTAAGAATTAAAATAATAATAAAATCTATGAAGTAATTAAAAATATTTAATAATTTAGAAAATTAATATAAAACTATTAAAGTATTTAGTAATTAATAATAATTAAAATAATTAATAATTAATTTGGTGTACATTTGAACGCCGCTACTAAAACAGGGTTGTTGCAACTACGGGAAGAAAAGGGGAGAGAGAGGGGGGAGGGAAATCGAACGCCCCTACTGAGAGTTGCAGCGGTGGTGGTGGGAAGACGGAGAGAGAGATAGAGACAGAGACAAAGACAAAGAGACAGAGACAGAGAGACAGAGATAGAGACAAAGACGGAGAGAGGGAGAGGGAGAGGGAAATCAATCACCACTATTGAGAGTTGCAGCAACAGTGGCGGGAAGACAGAGAGAGATAGAGAGAGAGAGAGGGAGGAGGGAAATCAAACACCGCTGCTGAGAGTTGCAGCAACAATGGCGGGAAGACAGGGGAGAGAGAGATCTAGAGAGAGAGGGAGGGAAAGGGAGAGGGAGAGGGAGAGGGAGAGGGAGAGGGAGAGGGAAATCGAACGTCGTTGTTGAGACTTGCAACGGTGGTGGCAGGAAGAGAGAGAGAGAAATCAAGCAGGAGTATAGGTGCAAAACAGAAAAAAAAACCCTTAGGTTCAATTTGGAAAAAGTACAAATGTAAATACATATAGTATAAATACATACAAAATATAAGGTTTTACGATAAACATATTTGCATTTATACTCCTTCCAAACTGAGCCTTAAAAACGTGACCAAGTTGCTCAGCCTCAGAAGTCAGAACCACTTGAACTCTCACCCACGCTTGAGCTTAGCCAATAGCCATTAAGCTTGCTCGACTGAACCTACTAATTAATCGCATGAACCTGTACAGTTAACAGAAACTTTACCAATGTCAATGCACGAAAACTTTATTTGTTATTCCACCAGGCGTCTGTCAGTCTTAGCTAGATTAAGGTTTTCGCACGAAAAATTATATATAATGGTTAATATTTATAAATCGGTATTGGGTATCGTATTGGATAAGTCGGATATGGATATGAATATGGATATACTTTGAAAACGCATGGGTACGAACGGAAGATATAGAAACACTTGGATACACTAGTGAAATGCATACAAATCACATAAATATATTAATCATACTAAACCAAAAGCTGAATTATCTATGAATAAGATATAAATACATGAGAAATGTATGCTCCAATAGGTTATGTGAAGAGAAATATTACAATAAACAATATCGGGACTCTAGAACATTCAAACTCTGTATAATAATTCTCACACTTTCAATTTTATAATTATAATTTTTATTTTTTCTTAACTTTTGGGAATATTTATTAATTTAGTATTTTATTTAAATAACAACTATTTTTTAAATAATAAATGTCTTCATTTTTAACATATAATGTTTTTATTTTACACATAATTGCAAAATAAAATAAATAAATCATTTAAGATAGATAAAATAAATTATATTTAATTTTCAGTTTTTATTAATTTTTTTTGGGAAAATTAAATCTTAAATTATTCGTTTCAGTTTTTGTAACTATAATTTTCTGTTTTCCATTAATTTTGTTGGGAAAATTTATTTATTTAGTATTTTTATATAATAACTATTTTTTCAAATAATAACTATGTTTTCATTTTTAACATATAACTATATGTAAAATAAAATATATAAATCATCTAAGGTCAATGAAATGTATTTTTTTTATAATTTTTAGTTTTTATTAAATTTTTTGGAAAAAAATTAAATCTTAAATTATTTATTTCAATTTTCATAAAACTATTTTTGAACTTGTATTAAAGATGAAAAACAATCCAAAAATACTCAATGTACAAATTTGTCAAATTAGACATGGATACACCTCCATATTGGTGTGTATCAGACCATATCCACCGATACGGTGCGGTATGACCCGATACGGAGGCATATCGTACCGATACACATGACTTATAAGATACATATCCAATTATAGTGTATTCCGTACCCATGATCATTGATATGGATACGGTACGCCCCTATCGGAAGTATCGTATCGATACCTTAATGCTTGATTTTAATATTGAACTTAAAAAAATAAGGAATTATCCGGCTGCCATGTAATAAAGATTTTGAGTTCAAATTTAGCTCTTAGCAGAATAAAGCAAGAAGAAATAATGAGTCGTTTTTATGATGTATTTTTGTTCTATTAATAATTTATAATACCTTTTATAAGTTATTTCTACAAGTAGTTTTATAAGAGGTCCAAAATTACCAACAAATATATATGATGAAGGTTCACTTCACGCATCTCTTGAGCTTGAGACAACTTTTTGGATTTCATCATTAACATTAATGAAATACCAAGAGAAACCCATTAAAACCATAATCCACACAGTTTTTTGTTTTTTTTAATCCAATAATCCACACGGTTGGTAAGGACGAAGAAACCGAGGAAGTACATGTATAATTGTCACGCGTGCACCATACACATCAGAAATGCTTTTTCCAAAGGTTATGCAATTTTACGTGTCAAAATATGTTTTTTCTTTTTTCAGCCAAATGGTGAAAATTGTATTTAGCTAACGGGCCAGGAAAGCAAAGCAAAGGGTTTTTGTAATTTGTAAGTTTGGATGGTTGCGTTGCGATAATAATTTGTAATCGGGTTTGACTTTGAGAATACTGCCAATCTGCAATTATTTGGAGGGGTTGTTGGTCGGCTCGGCTCAAGAGTCAAAAAAAAAATCTATCTTAGCCAAGCGTTGCCACTGAGTCAGGAGGGCTGCCTGGGTTCTGTGGAGCGTGGAGCACTAGAGTATTGAGTAGGGTTCCCGTTCAACTCAAGTGTGCGCTAGGTGTCGACTGTGAGTGTCGAGACGGTGACGGTCGAATGAAGTAACGCCGTTAAGGCTACTGTCAGATGAACCGCGCCACGCATATCGACTAGCGCCGCCAGCTCAGTTATGTGGGGCCACCATCACACTTCCGTCTATTACTTTCTCTCCCTTTATCTACGCCTCCCCCACCCTCACCTCTCTCCATAACTTTTTGAATCGTCTCCTATCTCCCTACTTCCGTTTTTGATTCTCCGTCTGTCGCCGCTCTACGCCCTCTAGGCCTAGGTCGGTCTGTCTGTCTGCTCCCCCTGTATAAACCGACTCTCTTTTATTGAACTTCGCTCTACAAGTGATCTCCGGTTGGATTCCTCCTCTTCCGTCCACAAATGGTTCTACCGAAGCGTCGCCACAGATTCTTCAAGTTCAGAAGCCCTGCTCTCCCACACAGCCTCGTCTCTAGTTTCTCCAATTTCTAATTAAGCTTCTTCTGTATCCCTCTCCCGAGCAAACAGAAATACAGAATACTCTCCCTCCAGCTCTCCTTCCAATAACAAAAGATTCGCTAGAAGCTTCGTCAAGCAGAGGGAGAAAAAGATAATCTTGTTTTCCTTCTCTCTCTCTCACACGCACCTCTCTCTTTCTCTTTCATTCATTATTCTGGGCTCACATTAATTCCTTCTGTCAACTATCTTTCTTCGTGTCTATCCCCATCTTATAAATCAAATGTCTGCTAGAGAATACGACTTCTCAGGTGCGGCAGTTGTGGAAATGGCTTGGATCATGCTCAGGATCGACTACTCCAGGCTATTCTGGCTCCTTTTTGGTGTCTTCTCTTACGAAAACCACGAAGGAAAGCCTCGGATCTAGCAGCCACTCTTCTTTGTTACCATTACCCAGATAAAGTCAAATAATACTACTATTTATATACATATACTTAGAAATAAAAGGAAAAGGTGAGTCTGTTCGTCGTTTTGAGGTTTCGAGGATCTACTCCGTTCACAGTGCGCAGAACATGTACAAACCGCTACTCAGGGACGGTGTTGAGGGAGTCACCGTCGATTATGGGTACGTCGAAACTGATCCAACCGGCCGGTATGGACGAGTAAGTTTTCCGCCCTGATTTTTTTTTTTTCATATACACGTATATTTATATATTATATTATATAGTTCGTATTCGTATTACATGAGAGAGAGAGAGAGCATCTCTGACTCTGATGAAGCATCATGAGGGCAAGGACTAAAGATGGATTACCTACCTTGCTATATTTTATATGAAAAAACCCCCCCCAAAAAAAAAGAGAGAAAAAAGAAGAGAAAGGAACAGGCTTAGTTAAATGAACAGCAACTTGCTTGCGAGAAGTCCACCATAATTTAAAATATAGGTTTGTTGCGGTTCTTAACCTTTAATATTCATTTCTCAAAGTATAGAGATAAAGACGTACGTTAGTTAGATCAAATGATATCTTATTTCTATTGTGGTTCGATGTTCATAGCTAATTAAGAAATCCTGAACAACTGATGGTTTCAAGTCTTGTCTAATCTACTGATTAATCCATTCATAAAACTTAGTAAACCAAAATTTGCCGACTCATCATCTCCAAACCTCCATACACAGAAGAAAGTCATTGCTAAAACTAAGGCCGTCCTAAGAGCCATCCTGACTTTATAATGGAAAAGGAACATGTTCCTGACTTATTACTACTTTATTTATCACCAAAATTCCACTTTTCTAATCTTCAATATTTCTTCTCTAATTAAATTGCAAGTCTTTTTTTTCCACTTCAAAGAGATCCCTTGCGCTGATTCCATTTCTCCATTCCTCAATTCTGGTTAACAAAAACAGATTTTCTCCTGGATGAGCGGAGAAATACAAGCAGGGTGACAAGATCACCAGTAGCTAAACGGGCAAGAGTCTGAGCAACTCTGTTTGCAGATTTAGGAGTTTAGGAATAGCTCATGAAGGAGACCGTTCATAACAAGGTTGATCTCATGTTTTGATGAATTCTAAATAAACGTTTTCAGTAACCATTTTGTTCTGTTTTTTTTTTTTTATTTTTATTTGATAGCAGCTTATTTTGTTTTCTAATAACCCTTCTTCGTCCACTAACCAAGGATTAAAGGTCTGACCCCAAGTTTCCTGAAATTCTTAACAATCAGTGTTTTAATTCCTCATAATCTACAATCCGCATAGGTATATAACCATCGTATAATGGTTGTACCCTTATGGGTGTTTTAATTTTATTAATTTAAATTGATAAGTTAATTGTAACTTGGAGATGAGCATCACATCATTGTACAATTTTGTAAGAAGGAAAAGGCAAGTCGTATGATGCTCGAAGGATAGTTCATTTATATTTGCTCTTCACCCTTGTATAAGAAAAATCCTCCAAAAATTCTTTGTTGTATTTGTACGTAAACTTTATTTTATGAGCATTAATAAGCTTTTGAAGCTCGGGTTGGAAAACATGGGGCTCGGCACAGTGATTGGATAAGAATCTCTGGGGGCTCTTGGATTAACAGAACCATAGATCTTGATTCTTGACGACCAAAATGCCCTAGATGTGACGCCTCCCCAAGTGAGTCATTTGATCTCATCCATTTTTTGGCTCATGGTCATATCCAAGAACATGTTGAATGGTCAACAGATTAAACACCCACCACCTCCCCCTCCAACTGTTAGCCGTCACTAGCCTACAATAAGGGTTGGGCTGGGCTGGATGTAGATTTTACGTTAATGCCTGAAATAGTGAAATGGCTTGTTACGTCCAACAGTGGGCTGGGCCAGACATCTTTTGGCACAGATGACTCACTCACCTCAGCCTGGTTGACATGTTAGCTGCAAATTATACCATTTTGTGCAAGAGGGCGATCCAAATTCGATCTATGATAGGATCGTATTTAGATCCACCCCTATCGGATCTTATTCAATCCGATTTATAGATCTATCTTTATTTTTTCAAAGTTGTTCTGATTTTTTTTTCCAAAAATTCAATGTTAAATTCAATTTGAATAAAAGTTTGTATCTGAAACTTTTTTTTTTTAATATTTGCATCTGAGTGAGGTATATTCCATTGGATTCGATCCCATCCGCTTCTCTTACCTTACAGAGTATATTAATAAGTTATAAATATCAATAAATGCCATATTATTAACAGGTGTTAGTGAAATCAGTATTTGAAGTTTTGAATATTGGTGACACATCAATAAATTTGTGGATATGTTACATCATTTGTTGGTGGGGCCAGTGTCCAAAATCATAATGGATGGATACTGGGTACTGGATCCCACGTGATGCACTAAATCTACGGTGGGTGTCCAAGGACTAAGTCTTCGTATTCAAGGACAGTGCTAAATGACGTCATAGCAACATTGTTATTAATTTGTTTTGATTTTGGGGTTTTAAGTTTTAACCGTTCTCAGTCCACCCCTATCGCTATTCGCTAGGGTGGAGTTAAGATTTGGATTGAATCCTGACCGTGGATTGATGCTAAATCCACGGGAATGATGCGGTTTAGACTAAGAGGGGCTACAATTTTAGATTTATGAGGTGGATTGTCTACGATGGTTTTTTCACATCCGATGGCCTGGCGTGGGCTGTTGCGTGGCTCACTTAGGGCCTGGCCTGGCCTGTACCTATGTCATGTCCTTTGGTTAGAGGTCAGGGGCAGTTTAGCAATGCTTCTTCCTCTTTAGAACAGTGCTTGCTATCATCGCAAGTGAGGCACTAATCACAAAAAGGACAATAGTTAATACGCATAATCTCCTGTATTTGTAAGAAAATCTCAGTTTACTTATTTTCCGGCCCGGCCCGGCCCGGCCCAGCCCAGCCCAGCCCAGCTCCGAAATTGACACCACTGATAGTATAGTATTATAGTAGTAGTGTTGGTGATCCATGAGAAAATCTTTGTATCTTTGTTGCTGCCTTTTGTCCATAATTTGGGTTATCAAATTAAAATTGTGACGACGATTAGCGTTCCCTGGGTTCCATTATGTGTTGCAGTTCGACGAAGTTTTAGGGCGAGGAGCCATGAAGACGGTATATAAGGCATTTGATGAGGTCCTTGGTATGGAGGTGGCGTGGAACCAAGCCAAGCTGAATGACGTCTTCCGGTCACCGGAGGAATTGGAAAGGCTGTACTCGGAAGTACACCTCCTGAGCACCCTCAACCACGACTCAATTATCCGGTTCTACAGCTCATGGATCGACATTGATCGCAGAACCTTCAACTTCATTACCGAAATGTTTACTTCAGGCACTCTCAGAGAGTAAGACTTGTCAACTTATTCTCTCCTTAAATTTAAATCTTCTTGTTTACTTTTACGTGCTTATTGCTGAATTAGGTATGTTATGTACTGTGGCGTGGCATTGTGATTGTGATGAGTTAATTAAATTAATCCAGGTATAGACAGAGATACAAGCGGGTGGACATAAGAGCCGTGAAGAATTGGGCCCGCCAAATCCTACACGGTCTTGTGTACTTGCATGGTCATGATCCTCCTGTTATTCATAGGGACCTCAAATGTGATAATATCTTCGTCAATGGTCATCTAGGGCAAGTCAAGATTGGTGACCTGGGGTTAGCAGCTATTCTTCGTGGGTCTCAAGCGGCCCACAGTGTTATAGGTAATCATCATCATCTCTCATCTCCCATCTCCCATCCTGGTTCAGTCCTAAGACCGGGCCAACGTGGCTGGTTCATTTAGCCTAGGTTATTGGTTATATTTGGGAGAATTGAAGTGAAAGTCCATATATAGCGTGGTGAATACTTGTATCCCCATTCCCCAGTACTAAGTTGAGTTAAATTTGATTTGAGAGTTGTTAGGCACCCCGGAGTTCATGGCGCCAGAACTATATGAAGAAGAATACAACGAGCTTGTAGACATATACTCCTTTGGAATGTGTGTGCTAGAGATGCTTACCGCCGAGTACCCATACAGCGAATGCTCCAACCCAGCTCAAATCTACAAGAAAGTGACGTCGGTAATTAATTAAGCTCCATTATATTATAATTTATAATACATATTTAATTGTCGTGAATAATTAATTAATATACTCACGTCACGTCACGTCACGTTATAGGGAAAGCTACCAGCCGCGTTCTATCGGATTCGCGACTCGGAAGCGCAACGCTTCATTGGGAAATGCTTGGACACCGCCGTAAAGAGGCTCCCTGCCAAGGAACTGTTGCTTGATCCCTTCCTTGCATCTGACACTGAGGAGATGTTGCCAACTCCCAACCCTCCTACTGTTGCAAAAGATGTTGTGCCTCCGCCGGAGAGTAGTCAAGTATATGTGCCACAACCAGTTGCTCCAGCAATAAGCACTACTACAGACATGACAATCACAGGGAAGATGAACCCTGAAGATGATACCATCTTTCTTAAAGTTCAGATCGCTGATAAAGATGGTAAGAGGAGAATCTATCAACGGGTTCTGAGAACAAAGTTATATTGATTTAGTTATACACAGGGTGATTGGATTGGATGGTGAAATTCTGAGCGGTGAGGAATTTATTTTGTTTCTTACAGGTTGTGTGAGGAACATATATTTTCCATTTGACATTCTAAGTGATACTCCGATCGATGTGGCAACCGAGATGGTGAAAGAGTTAGAGATTACAGATCGTGAACCGTTTGAGATTGCAGAGGTAATAGAGGATGAGATCTCAGCTTTGGTGCCACACTGGAAGGAATCTCAACACCATGACCATCCTCACCAAATTCTTAACTATCAAGATGATGATGACGATGTGCCCTACCATCCTTCGTGTTCATTCTCCTCGTGTTCTTCTCAGGCTTCACTCTCTGTCTCTGGATTGATCACTTCCTCGTATGGCTACGATTGGCTCCAAGGTATGCTGTGCTCTGATACATATACACACTTGGGCACAAAAGCAATAAGGAGTTAGGACTTCGAGGCTCAGTTGTATCTGTTCAATGGAACATTAATTGTTTTTAGTTTCAACTATATATATATATTATGCTGATCACAAGTCACAATTGTCTGAAAAGCCAAGCTCAAACTCCAAAGCTAATTGGTGAAACAATAAATGCTGATGCAGGTGACTTGTTTGGTGATGATGATGCGAGCTCTCAAAGCTCCGTATGCTCGGGCAAGTACTCCAACTTCAACTACAATTCCGGCAGTGAACATGATTTCAATCAAAGTCCTAGAAGAAGAAGAGATCAGTACTACTGTCCGGCCGCAATGACTCACCAATCCACGAGATTCTGTCCCGAGGAGAAGCCGAGGACGGGCCACTTCATTGGTATGAATCGACAAAGACAACCTAGCGTCCTAGCAGAGTCTCGCAGAGCTTGTGGTAAAAATGAACCTGCAGGTAATACGTTAATGGATAACCGCCGATTGACAAGGAACCGATCACTGGTGGACGTACGTAGCCAGTTGTTACACCGCTCTTTGGTGGAAGAGGTAAACAAGCGTCGCCTGTTCAGGACAGTCGGTGCTGTGGAGAGTATCGGATATCAAGCTCCCCACGAATTTTCTGACAAGGATTACCGGCTTATGTGTGTTAATCCTGCATGTGGGGGCTTGGGGAGATGGTAAAGAGGCGAGGATTTAAATGGTGACCGGGTGGCGCGGGTGGAGGTGATTATTTTAACCTCTCATCTCAAGTTTTTGAAGTGAATTTCAAGACCGACGACGCCATATGTCTGGACTGCGATTAGTTTCATTTCATTTCATACTGATGTAAATATTTATGCATGGTGTGTTTGTTGTAGTGTGTGGTACACAAGTATTCGAGCCCACCGTGATCACTGTTTTTTGGATGCTATTCTACTAGAAGTCTGGAACCCAACTATGATCAGTTTCAGAACTTGTGTTGGGCTTGGGCTGGGGCAACGTCTTTGAGGTTTGGGCTTGGGCTAAGGCCTTGACACTCCCCCACAATCTGTCGAACCTGATGAGTATATATTTATATATATGTGTGTGTGTATTTCTATATTGCAAAGATGACTACGAAAAATGTCGTGTTTAATCCATTATATTTATATTTATGTATAATATGGAAGAATGTAATGTAAGTGCAATCCTTGACATATAGGAAAATGTTTGGAATGAGATTGTCAATTAGACATTGAAGACATGAATTCATCATAATTCGATGAGAATGAGTTGCAACTGCAACTCGAAATTAGACCATGGGTAAGATACTTATAGAAAATAGGAAAAACCTATGCTACCGTGCTACAGAAAAGACATGATACCAGGAAGGCTTTGATGAATTAACCACCACCCCTGTGAACCTGATTGTTTACCACTTTTATTATGATATCAGTTCATTGGTTATAAATTTTTATTTGTATCATAGACCAATCCTAGAAAATAAGAGAAACTGACTGCTGCCCTGTACTTGAGTTAGTAACGCTTAACCCCCGAGCTTTTTGTTTGTGACAGAGACCCACTTTGAAGTTCAAAGTTTGAACTTTTAGATTCCAGCATATTGACCCATGGGCTTTGGTGGTAAAGATAAAAATTATGAAAATGTTCATTTCAAGTTCTGTATTTTTTTTTCAATTTCTGTTTTTATCTTTTCATTTTTCTATATTCTCTTCTTTTTCTTTGTTATTTTCTGTTTTTTATATTTTATTTTATTTCCCATTTTTCTTCTGTTTTTTTTTGTATTTTCTGCATTTTGTGTAATTTCTACTTTTTCTTTATTTTTCTGTCTTTTATTGTAATTTATCAAATTACTACAACATGGTCGCACAAAATTATATAAAAGCAATTTGGGGTTTTAAAAATGTTTAAACATGCACATAACAGTCACTTGTGAATCTAAGTTGAAGTTTGTTTTATAGAGTTCTAAGGGCAGGGGGAAAGTGCTGGCAAATGAAAGTTCAATGTTTAAGTGTCACTATCCCCAAATTAAGTACAGAGGTTGTTTAAAACAAAAGGAAAAAACGAGAGAAAAACTTCACCATGGTTGCATTGATTTTCATCTTCACTTTCGATAGGCAAAGCAGTACAAGATGCCATCTTGCACTAGCTTGCCATCGGTTAGCGTCAACCTCTGTTACTAATGGAATTCTTTCTAAGCAAATAAACTGACTTTGGTTTTTTCGTACCAAACATATATAGTTATTTACAGAGACAAATATAGGGTTCTGCTGATTATAGTGGACTGATATTTCCATGCAAAATATGCAAGAAGAAGTGCTAATTGGTTTATAGATTATTAATATGTACAAAGTCATGAAGTGGGTCGCCCAAGCTAGCTTGTCATCATTAATTAGGTCAATATATCTATATATAATATATGCATGTACTTGATGGCCTGGATTAGCAACAACCAGTTTCCCTTGTTATTCTTTGAGTTTAGTTATTTTATCAGCTTATCTGCTTCAGAATGTGCTGCCGGCCGGCCGGACTTTTAATACCTAGATTCCTTGCTGCCAGATGTTAGCCTGATGGCACATCCAATTCCTGTGTTAGGATCGAAACTCAAAAGAGCCATGAAGTTGCTTGTAATTTATTTGCAGTAGCTCTACTTTGTGCTTGAGTTTGGTTGTAATTAAGTAGGTTAAGATGGACGGTAATCGTCTTTTATTATGTTGTGGAATTGTGAGATTAGAGCCTTTGGAAGATCTGGGTGTATATTAATTTGAAAAAATTTCTTGTGATCAAGTACATGGTGGGACAATGTTGGGCCATTAATTAGAGTTTTCTTCTCCTCCTTTGTTATATGGTAGGTGGGGGAGAGTGATGAACCAATCTCTGATGATGTGGATATATAGGTTCTACTACTATTTTGCCTGGGTTATCATATAGCACCATATGATCCTTGAGAAACGACAATGGAACAGCAGGTGGTGTACTGTCTTGTTTCTTGCGGCTAGTTGCAGAAGATGCAGAGTTAGGAAGTACTCTTTGTATCTTCTCTGTGCTTCCACTACTTGTTTTGTTGTAAAATACCATTGCAGAGCACTTACCATTATTCCATATGAGGAGCTGTGGGCCTGTGGCTGTGCTCTATACGGTATGTTGGTCTTTCTAGATCACAGACCTTTTAAAAAATGGGCTAGCCGCTGTATAGGCTGTGATTTGACTGTATACTTCCCCCGCCCGACTCGTCTCCTTTTGCATTATATTCTGTCTTCCTGCTCGTGAACGTGAAGAAAAATAAGACTTTATAAATATGAAGTTTCTAATTCCAATAAGAAATACTGAATACGCAACAATAATAGCAATTTTTTTTTTTTTCGGACAAATTAAGCATGCAATTGGCAAAATCAATTGTCAAACTAGTGGGTACGTAAGATGGGGGAACAAAATCATCAACATCCCAAAATCGATTGCCTCAATTGTCGTTACAGCTAGAAGCAATATTACTGTGAAGGATTTGTAACTATTTATGACTCTGAAACAAGGAAAGAAGGAAACAATGAGAGCTGGAAGAAGATTTGGTTGTCTTTAATAAAAATTGTTAGTTGAAATGTTACATATTGGAGGAGGCCCACAGACTTGAATCTAAGGCTACCATGTGGTGGGGGGGCCCGGCTGGGGAAAAGAGAAAATTTAAAATCAGTCCCACAAAATCTCTTGGAAGAGACTTTACCAGTTTTGATTCTACCTATTTGTCCTCATCCTCTCTCCCTTTCTCTCTCTCAATCTCTCTCTCTCTCTATATATATATTATTTAACAATTCATACCAAAATAGAAAATTTATGATGCAGAAAAGATATGGTATAGAAAAAGTTTTGACCAATCAAAACCACCATGAATTTTGATAAATAATACCTTATTCATTACCATGTTTAAGATTCCAATTTATTGGTTAATTATTTTAAATGTCATTATATATAGTTGTTATTCTGTTTTTTTTTCCTCTTTTGAATAATTTTGGGGGAGAGGTGATCGAACCCCTTCATCGATCTAAAAGGTGAACCAATAGATCGGTGTAGTAATAGTCAGCCTCATCTAGTACACTCCAACACACACATCCAGGGTGAATAAACCCATGTTGCTTGGTGGGGCTTCATCATATATTCATCACTTTTTCTGTTTTACAGCACAAGTATGCATATATGATAATCTGACGAAGACAGCATCGTCCAAATTTAGCATTGTCTTTGTTTTTTTTAAAGGCGTGATGGTGTTAGTGGAGACCGGATCTGCTCCTCACACGCACATCTTACCATGCATTGGAACATCTCCCGTACTTATTAGTTATTATTCATAGGAGATGTTCTCAATACAGGGTGGATGTGCCTGTGAGGCGCCCATTTGTGAGGAGCAGATCCCACTTCATTTTAGTGTTACTAATGGGCTAGCTAATGGGCCTGTTTGTCGGCACAACAGTCATTTTCCTACAACTTTTTAATGTATGTGTATATAAATAAAAGGGAAATTGTCTAAAACTCATGAGTTTTCAGCATTTCTCTTAAACTCACCACTACTTTTTAAAATGTCTAAAACTCATCATGTCATTAATTTGACATTAAACAGACTAACGGGTGTTAATATATTACCGTTTTAACCTTCATAGAAAAATATAAATATATACAAAATAAATTAACAGGTGTTAATATATTGTCATTTTAATATTTAGACATGAAAAAAAAAGAAAAAATTCAAAAAATATTTTCAAATAAAAAATACATAAAAATATAGAAATTATAAAAAATATAAAAAATTGCAAGAAAACAAAAAAATTATTTTCAAATTATAGAAACTATAGAAATTGAAAAACAAAATCAGAAAATAAAAATTATAGAAAAAACACCAACAAATTATAGAAAAACACAGAAATTACAAATTAATAACAGAAATACAGGAAAATTTATAGATTGTAGAAAATAGAAAATTTCAAAAAACAGAAATTATAAAAAAACATTGGAAATTATAACAAAACACTAAAAATGCAAAAAAAAAACAAGAAAATTGAAAACTGAAAAAGACCAATTTTCCTCTAACTATTCAAGGGTAATTTTCTCATGAAAATTGTTATTTATGCTGACATAGACACCTCTGTTAAGAAGCATTGACGGTGCACTAACGGAAGGTGAATTTTGGAAAATAAAAACTTACTGATATGGTGAGTTTTAGACATTTTGAAAAACACTTATTTTACTCTTTGTTTTATGAAAATAATGGTTGTAATTGATAATGGATTCGTTCAAAGTTTTCTTCTAAGTTCTAACTTGATATATAAATTGCCACTAAGAAAGAAAGAAAAACAGAAACTTAATATATAAGGTCTTTTGCCTGCTGGGCAGCCAGGCTGGCAAGGGACAAAACTTTGTCAATCCACGACTCGACAACCTGGGCTCTCAACATGGCTCCCTTGCATGACACGTTGGTTGACTTTACAATTAATGCATCCATGTAGACAACAAAAATTTTCCCATCAGCTCAGTTTGGAAGGAGTACAAATACAAATATGTACAGTGTAAATAGATACAAAATACATGATTTTGCACTCTACATATTTGTAATTGTACTCCTTCCAAACTGAGCTTAAGGTGTATTTGCGTCCTAACTATCCAAATTCAGTATAAATACAAAAATCTTGGAAATCTGGTCCCAGTCTGCATTTTAATAATTTGGAATAATTTGCATTTGTACTCCAAACAAAGGCAGCCTAACAGTTAGAGAGTTTATCCCTTCAGTTTGTTATTAGAGAGTCAAATCCCGTTTTTTCCAATTTAATTTGATCCCCCATCTATTAGGGTTAGACTATGATGCCAAAAAGATATGATACCAGAAAAAAACTTACAACCAATTAATAGGAACTAGAGATGTCAATCAACCAGTTTTGGATGGATCCAATTTGATACAAACCTTATCAACTCGGATTTGGACGGTTGGATTGGGCCAATCCAAAATAAATTGGTCTATATTCTTATTGGTTTGAATAGGACCTAAACCAAATTTCCAATAATCCGATAATGAGGTCAAACCCTTGTCCAATTTGAAACTAATCAAAACTGAAACCGGCATAAAATCGCTTTTATGAAAGTACTTTTACTAAAACACTTTTACAAAAGCACTTCTATAAAAGTAATTTTATGACAGAAGCAGATTTATAAAAGCACTTTATGAAAGCACGTATACAAAAGTACCTTTGCAAAAACACTTTTGCAAAAGTACTTTTACAAAAACACTTTGGTTCTCGGAACAGTATCTCTCCTTCCCAAATGATGGAACTAGCAAAGGCTTTGGAGTCAAGCGGCAAAATTTTCATTTGGGTTCTTAGGCCACCGATCGGATTCGATGTTAATGAGGAGTTTAGAATTGAAGAGTGGCTACCGGACGGATTTGAAGAACGAATGAGAGAGAGCAATCGAGGGCTACTAATCCGCAGATGGGCGCCTCAATTGGAAATTCTGTCACATAATTCTACTTGTGCATTTCTTAGCCATTGTGGTTGGAATTCAGTGCTGGAAAGTTTGAGGCAGGGAGTGCCGATAATAGGTTGGCCATTGGCTGCAGAGCAATTCTTTAACTCAAAACTGTTGGAGGAGATGGAGGTGTGCGTTGAAGTTGCAAGAGCGAATAGCTGCGAGGTCGGACACGAGCAGATTGCGAGCGTGATCGAATTGGTGATGGGTGGGACTGAGAAAGGAGAGAAGATAAGAAGGAAAGTTTGCGCAGTGAAGGAGATGATAGAGGACGCTGTCAATGATGGTGAAAGTTACAAGGGCTCTTCTGTCAAGGCCATGGACGGATTTTTTGATTTCTGTAGGAGGAAGATTGAGTGAGGAAATGCACAGTGTGCGAATACTAACTACTTGTGCTCCCATTCTTCAGCTCAAAATTGAAATGCTAAAAGAATGCTTTGAGCTTTCCGAACACATCTGTTGTTACTGATACTGCAGCAATTCCATGTGATCCCTGTAAGACGAGTCTAGATGAGCTACAAGCACTCCTAAATTGCTTAAAGACTTTCTTTCCATCCTCATTTTCGTTGGACGTCTGACAGTTCAGATTGTCATCCATCTCATTTTCGTTGAAACAAAGATTGGTTGTTAGTGAGGAATTCTCAGATGTGTTTCCCCTCACTAACAGCTAGTCCACCATCCCAGTACCATGTTGGACGACTGACACTTCGGATGGCCGGAGGTAGAGATCAAATTCATTCGCCACCGTTGTGTGTTTTAGTTGGGGAGAGGGGAATGATGATTAGTGCTATTCCATGTGGGTGGGGAGAGAGAGAGTAAGAGGAAAATTAAAGAAGAGGGAAGGTTGGAGGGGTGAGTGCACCGCCATTCTACCGCTGTGCGTCATGAGAAAGAAGATAACAGTGTTCCAGTGGATTATGGAGTTGTTGAGATAGGGCTATTTTAGTAAAAACATATGTACATTAATTCGTAAAAGGGTAAAATAGGTATTTTGAAAAAAATATCATCTCTTTAACGTTTTCCGTCTTGGTCATTAATGGAATGGAGGTATTTGTTGATTTTTTCAAAAATAGAGGGGAGATTTTTGCTTAAATGAAACTATATGGGAGGTTTTTGTGATTGTCAAAAACTTCAGGAGAGGTTTTTGTATTTTACTCTAATTTCTTTATGTTCTATTTGTTATATAATTTTTGATATTTCATTTGGTTTGGATTGGATCCTATCCAATCCATTTAAATTTTAATGAATTGAATTGAATTTGGACTGAATTGGGTTCAATCCATTTGTAAGTGGATTCACATTCGAGTAGATCGGGTTGGACCAAATCCAGTTCAATTGACACCTCTAACCGAAATCATAAAGGTAATTGATGAAGGGTGATTTGGCCCGACCTAGTAAAGAGGGGACACATGGACATGACCTGACCAAGAGATGACAACTCAGCCTAACGCGGCCAGTCCGCAATAGATCGAGCTCGGATATTCAACCACCTCGGGATGAAGTGACCTCGGGACAAGGTCACCTCGAGACGAAATCACTTCGGTACCAGATCACAACAGGATCACTTCGATCCCAAGGCACTTCGGCATTCAACTCAGTTCGAAACTTAAAAGCAACAGCTCAGGGATATCGACTTCAGAACACTACGTGGTAATCCCGGAAATCCCTCCAACGGATTCTGAACCTCACGGGATCACGCCGTGTAATAGCTAGCATTATCTCCTCCCTGCCCGATTCGGGCAGAATTGATAAGCCTTTTCAGTTGACAACGTTATCCCTCAATTAACGCAGAAAGCTGATCTTGTCATGATGAAGATCCCGGAATTGATCCGCAAAACTTGCGAGGACTCAACAACATAAAGGCTCCTCCCTTGGTGGCTCAAGGTATGCGTGATTACTCTGCTCTCTAGCTCTCTACACTCTTAAGCTTTTTAGCTCGCAACAGTCTACTAACTTAAGCATCGGAGCGACCTCGCTGGGCTAGCAACCCCAGGTTCTCTGATCCTCCTCTTACAGATCAACCTAGTCCGTCGTCTGACTGGAAGCCAGGTCACCTCCAACAAGGAGCAGCTAGATCGCACTACTCCATTTGGCACTATCTGTGGGAAATGCTACAGAAAGCCTTTTCCACCATCAATAACAAACTCAAATCCATGGCATCTTCCAGCAACGCCGAACAAACAATGAAGTGAACGTCTCCAGGGGGCAGCCTCAGTTCCCGTCTATCTGCATCGGTCAGTTCACCATACCGCTTACTGCGGCTGGGGTCCCAACGCTGACCATGTCCCAAGCGACTACACAGGTAAACGCACCACTCCCTTCGGTAGTTGGTGCGACCTTCGCTGAACCGTCTGTGGTTCCCCTGGAGTCGGTCAGTCCTAGTTCGAAGACCTGGTACACTATGTGCGGGTCATTCAGGTCCAAATGCAACATGTCCAACAGTTCTAGCACTATCAACAACAAGTCCTCCACCAATTCTACCAGCAACAGTATCAGCAACAATTCCCTCCACTACAGCATAATCAACAGCTGGTTCCACCCCGGCACCCAGCAGTACAGCCGAATCAGCCTCGTTTGCAGAACACTCGCTCTTCTCGTCGAGGCGAGACTCCCCAGGTTCCACTTCCTCTTGGAAGCCATGTCTCGCCCCGTGGTAGGAGGGATGGACAAGTCACTCCGTCCGCTTCACAGGGAAACGGTGGAAGCAAATCAGGAAATACTTAGCCTGCCAGGGCTATCTTACCTCGGCCCTCGCATCAAGAAGGTTCGCTCACGAGAAACCGGTTTGGGGTTCTGGCTACAAACTTAAGGCGAGGCCCTTCCGTCCATGGTAGTCAGCCTCAACATCCAGAGCCACACTGCACCAGAACAGTTCCTGACCACATAGAGGTCAGCAGCACTAATGCGAAGCCGATGAAGAAGCAACAGCAAAGGCGTCGCAAGGCACGCCGAACCACAACTCAGAATAGCCAGTTCGCCAGACCCAACCAACAGGAGCAAGTAAAGGGTAAAGAGGAGGCGAGCTCAGCAGCCACAAAGACCACTTCTCTCCTCTTCGGGTCATCCCCTCTGTCCTCCAAGCTCCTGGCGACCCCGATGTCTTTTGATTCAAACGACTATGTGGACTCCTTCCAGTCCCAGATGCACCTAGCTGGGGCTGACGAGTCCTGCATGTGCGTAGCCTTCTCCATCACGTTCAAAGGAGTAGCTCGCACATGGTACCGGAACCTCGTGCCAGGAACAATCAGAAGTTGGGCGTTGTTCATAGAAATGTTCACCTCGCACTTCATTACCAGCAAGAAGTGCCCGGGGTCCCAAGAAAGCCTCCTCAACGTAGTCCAAAGAGAAGGAGAGTCTATCAGAAGCTATATTAAACACTTCAATGACACCTGCTTACAGATCCCTGATCTAGATCCAGCTGTGAGGCTCACGGCAACGAAGAAAGGTATAACCCACAGGAATTCAAGTGGCATGTAGTGGCCTATAAGCCTAAAGACATCACCGAATTCCTCAAGCTCGCCGATCAGTTCATCGGGACCGAGGAAAAAATGAAACAGAAGACTGAAAATCCAGCAGAAAAGAAAAAAAGAGAAGGTGACAACACAAGTAATGGCGGCAATAAACGAAGAAAGAGCAAGTGCCTGACCAGGGAAGGAAACAAGTCTGGGAGCCGATCTCCTTCGTGATCTCATAAGTCAGATCGGTGTTCCCGTACTCCGCCGGTTGAAAGGACGAACTATACACCCCTCAACGCAAAGCAAGGAGAAATCCTTATGGCGATCAAAGGCTCCTCCTACGTGAAGTGGCCACCTCAGTTGAAAGGAGATCCCGTCACTAGAAACATAAATGTTTATTATCACTTCCACAAAGACCATGGACATAGTACAGAAAATTTCAGAAACCTTTGCGACGAGATCGAGGAGCTCATCCGTTGCCGATATCTGAAAAACTTCATACAAAAAAAAGACAGGAATCAAGCTAACTGCCACACAGACCGATAGGGGGAGCAAAGAAGAAATGCTCCCGAATCCAGCAGCAGACATAGTGAGCAGCCTCCAAGGCAGTTACCAAAAGAAAGGCCGATCCACGGAGTAATCAACATGATTACTGGTGGGTCCATCGTCACGGGCTGTACCTTGGCAGCAGGTCGAGCTTCAGATCGTGAACTAGAGAATGAGGAGCAGAACCCACCGAAGTGACCCAGGCTCGAAAATCCCATCTACTTCACAGAAGATGATGCGCGCGGGATCCAATATCCTCACAATGATGCCCTGGTAATAAAGCTGAGGATAAATGACTTTGAAGTCAAGCGCGTCCTAGTGGATTCGGGCAGTTCGACCGATATTCTGTTCAAGGACGTCTTCGATAAGCTTAAGCTCCAATAAAGCGATCTCAAGCCGACAGATACACCCTTGGTAGGCTTCAGCAGCGAAGAGGTCAGACTGCTATGGTGAGTCTCAGTACCTATAGAGGTCGGCACGTGGCCCAACATTGTAAGGTTCGAGCACACTTTCTTAGTGGCTATGACTCCATCCCCGTACAACGCCATAGTAGGTCGGCCCATTACGCACGCCCTACGTGCGGTAGTATCCACCTACTACTTGGCAATGAAGTTCCCAACGAACTATGGAGTAGGGGTTGTGCGAAGCGACCAACTCGAGTCTTGCAAATGCTTCGTCACCGCACTCAAGGGGAAAGACAAACTAGCGGCTGACATCGAGCTCGAGCGACCTATAGAGTATGCAGAGGAGTGAGCTACACCAACAGAAGAGACGGTTCACATCCCAGTCTCAATGGATCTAGCTAAGACTCTCTAGATCGGCGCTTCGATCGAGGAACCGCTTCACTCTCAGCTGGTAAGTTTTTTACTAAAAAATTTAGATGTGTTTGCATGGTCCGTAGCAGAAATGCCCAGCATAGACTCTTAAGGACTTCGAATGGACCGCAGAGCGACGAGGTAGTCAGCTCAGTACTAATAAAAGAGGTAGATCGGGTCCAACGACCCATCTACTATGTTAGCAAGGTTTTGCAGGATGTTGAAACAAGGTACCCAAAGATCGAGAAGCTGGCGTACGTGCTAGTCATAGCAGCTCGGAAGCTTTGGCCCTACTTCCAAGCCCACACCATCGTCGTCCTCACCAACAAGCCTCTAAGGCAAATCCAGCTCAAGCCCGAGGTGTTTGGTAGACTGACGAAATGGGCCATCGAACTCAGTGAGTACCACATTCGGTACGAACCTTGGATGGCAATTAAAGCTCAAGCCTTAGCCGATTTTGTGGCAGAATGCACGTTCAGCACTGCAACCCCCGAATTGGCCGAGCTCAGGACAGGGAGGAAGCTTCAACCAGTGCAACACCAAT